AGAGGTCATGGCCCAACATTGGTTGGTCGGCAGCTTGTCGCTGGTGGCGCGATGGCCGCAGTATCGTATTTGCTCTACCAAGTTACCATGGGTCGCCGTCCTGCCAAGTGCTACCGTTTCCAGAACAAGAAGCCGTTCATCAAGTCGCGCTACTGCCGTGGTGTGCCGGACCCGAAGATCCGCATCTACGATGTCGGTAACAAGAAGGCGTCCGTCGACACCTTCCCGTTCGTGTGCCACTTGGTGTCGGACGAGAAGGAACAGCTCTCGTCGGAGGCGCTTGAAGCCGCCCGCATTTCCGCCAACCGTTACTTGACCAAGCACTGCGGCAAGGACAACTTCCACATGCGCATCCGCTGCCACCCGTTCCAGGTCCTCCGTATCAACAAGATGCTTTCGTGCGCCGGTGCCGATCGTCTCCAGACCGGTATGCGTCACGCTTACGGCAAGCCCACGGGTGTCGCCGCCCGCGTCGCCATTGGCCAGCCCATTATCTCGGTGCGCTCCAAGGACTCGTTCGGCCCCGCCGTCGTCGAGGCCCTTCGCCGTGCCAAGTTCAAGTTCCCGGGTCGCCAGAAGGTGCTCGGCTCCAAGAAGTGGGGCTTCACCAAGTACGAGCGTGACGTGTACGCCAAGCTCCGCTCGGAGGGCGTCCTTGCCCTTGACGGCAACCACGAGAAGTACATGCCCAACCACGGCGTGTTGAAGTTGTAAAGACTTTGTCAGGAGTAGTTGGTTTCTTCATAAGTTAAATACGATCATCGATATACCGATCCATTCCACGCAGTTTGAGAGATGCAGTCAAGACTGTACACCGGGCGAGTCTAGAAGGCGGCGGAGCCTTGGCCGACAGCGCTAATGACTCATGTCATAGCCTCGACAGCACAAGCAGAGATACAATTGTGTACTCGTAAGAACGAGAGCGTTCTGGTCAAGACTATCCCCTTGGTTATAGTGTGCCATCATGTTGTGCCACTGCAATTGTATGCGGGTTAAGAGCACCGACTCGGACGTCGCCTTGAGCGTGTGGGCTTGCAATAACCGAAGCAAGGAAGAACGGAGCCAAATACCCCGTTGCGTGAACACAGTAGCTGCCGCTTGTTGCCACAGCACGAGACTCTCACCGGTCGACTCGTACGTCGAGGATCACAGAGGGTCGCATGGACGGCAGTGAGTCACGGCCACTGCGCATCATCCAAGTCTATATGCAGGTCGACAGACGCTCAGCATTGGCATAGCAATGGCGGCTGAGCGGCTCGTTGTCGCTGGCTACGACTTGTCCAGCGCTCCATGGCAGCGATTCGGCGCTGCTATGTTGTGGATAGATCATCGAAAGCAACGCACGTCGAATCGCTACAGCGGGGCTAGCGTCATGGCGAGCGCATTTTACGCGTGGTGTCGCCACCGTCGTCGCAACCGAGGCGCTGGCCTAGAGTGCAACGAGCCCTCGCATCATGGCTGCTCGCCTCCCAGACCACGCTGCGCAATGTCGGGCAACCGCCCAATGTCTGTCTTCGTAGAGCGTGAGCATGTCTGTCATGACGAGAGAATGCGATGACGCCCTCATCGTCGTCTGCTACTACCTACTTGCCAACCCAGCGACGCTGCAGAGCGGAGAACCATGCGTGCAGCCCAATATACCACGACCACTGCCACGCGGCTCACCGCCCGCCTTGCATATATCGTCCATCACCTCGCGCACCACGAAGGCAGCGCTATCGCTGCCGCCTTAGGTCGCTTCCTGCTGCCTGTCGCCGGTGGCAGCATGATCGCATCGCATCGCCTGTCCAGCGTGTCTGTCCCAGTCGGTTGACCGGTCGCATTTTGGCCAATCATCGTCGTCGGCGACGTACGATTGGCTCGCAAGATACCCAATCGTAAGGCGGCCTGCCACCTCCGAATAAAATATTGCACGCACTACTTCGTGTTTGTATGCAACATAAAATGTTTAACAAATAGTGCCAAGCCGGCTCCACACCAGCCAATTTGCTGCGGCAGCCGAGTCATGAGCTCACTATCGTTTTAGCCAAACCAAAGACAAGATGGGTGCCTACAAGTACATGACCGAGCTCTGGAAGCGCAAGCAGTCGGATGTCCTCCGCTTCTTGAACCGTGTCCGCGCCTGGCAGTACCGCCAGCTCCCGGTCGTGTACCGCCTCGTCCGCCCGTCGCGCCTCGACAAGGCCCGCCGCCTCGGCTACA